TGCTCGCTTATCCGCAAACATACCCAGGTATGTCACATAACCTGCTTTCTGGAATACCCCCCAGTTCACTCTAATGTAGCTGTAAAAATAGTTGCCTGCTGAAATTGAAATATATATGCATCTTCATGACTAGACAGACACAGGTGAGTTTCTCTTTATTATAACGTTACAGGTTAGGTTTCTCTATAGATGTGAATCACTCAACCGGAGGTAATCCTGTCAGATCATCCATGCTTTGAACTAGCATGTAGGGTCGGCCAATCTGGTTTCGTCCGTTAAAGTTAACCTTTTTCAAATAACAGTCGTGATCCCAGACAGCGAGTAACTTTACATATGCAGGTAAAATCGGATTTTCATTCTCCAGTCATTGTTAAAAAACAAAACAAAAACAAGCTAACAAACTTCATAGCGTTAGTGAAGCGGTCAGGGGAATCTTTCTGCCTCCACCTAAGCTCCGCCCTCAGAAAAACGTCACAATGTTTACTAACAGAAAAAGGGTCTTAGTATGTTATAAATATAAAAACTCATACTAAGGCCATTTTGACAACATATTTTGGATTTTGGGTGCAAGAGAAACATCACTAATCGATAAAAAACTGTGGTTTCAGTGGTACAATTCCATATTTACAAAGAGGGATGCTTGACACTAAAGCACTGTTTTGAGAGGCAAACGCCAGCAAATTTAAAGTTTGACGTCGTTAATTACAAACACGAGATTAATCATTTATAATCACTTTAATTTAATGACAGACTTAAGCTGAATTTTAAGACCAATGCTGTTTTCATCTAACGAACAAGCTTACATACCTTTCCTTTTTGAAGTGATGACTTCCTGGCTTTGTAAATGCATACAGCAAAATGCATACAGTTTCGATGTGTTTATCCAAACATCTCGGGAGATTCTCTTGCTCCCTGTATTTGGCGTGCTGTGTTCCTGTGCTCGTGCAGCAGGGTTGCCGGGTTTTCACAAGAAAACCCGCCCAATTGCTACTGAAAACTAGCCCAAAACTAGCATTCGGGGGGGGGTAAATTAAATGGGGGGTTAAATACACATTTTTTGGCGTGGTTCCCCTGCTAAAATTCGCATTCCAGGGGATAAATATCGTGTTGTTGGAGTTGCTTCAACCCGCGGACATGAAAAACAACTCATGGGAACAGTGTTAAAGTAGCCCAATTCCACGCGAAAACCGCGGACTTGGCAACACTGTCGTGCAGTGTCATGAACTGCGGCAGACTCGGATCACTTCTGCCGCTGGTTCAGTGGCTAGCGTTTTGTTTACCAAATTATGTCGCAATGATTTATAATAATAATTAAAGTTGTTATAAAGTCAAGTCCTGCCGAGTCATGAAGGTCAAGTCAAGTCAAATCTCAAGTCACTGGATCTCAAGTCCAAGTCAAGTCATTTCCTTTATTTAGTCAAGCAAGTCACAAGTCCTTAAATTTGCTGCTCGAGTCAGACTCGAGTCAAGTCATGTGACTCTTTCTGTAACATGCCCCTTACAGGGGAAGTCGTGGCCTAATGGTTAGAGATTCGGATTCGTAACCCAAAGGTTGCGGGTTCGAGTCTCATACCGGCAGAGATTGTAGGTGGGGGGAGTGAATGTACAGCGCTCTCTTTTTTATATTTTTTAATATTAAACCGCAGGCCGGTCCCCGCAATGTAAAAAATGTCAGGTTTTACTATCCTTGTGGGGACATTTGGTCCCCACAATGTAGCATAAACAAGTACACCCTGTCCTGTGCCCTCAGCTTTTTGAGCTAACTGCATTTTTTTAATGTAACTTCCAAAAACAACATTGACAGCATCAGAAACTATTTTCTTTGCTATAGTAACGAACGCAACTTTAACACGCATCTGATCGATTGTGATGCCGTGCTCACTGACATGCTTGTGCACGAATCACGGTCACGCACATGCTCATAAGAATTGTAAGATCTACTGTAAGATCTACATAATAATAATAATAATAATAATAATAATAAAGCAATTAAATAAGTAAATAAGAATGCTAAAATAAGTTATAGGTTTGTAGTTATATATGAAGAGTTCAGATGCAAAAGCCTCTAAGTGCCATTTAAAATTTTCTTCTAAAATGGTTATTTTCTCCTATGTTTATGTTCAGTTATTTTACTTTAATGGGAAAGAAAGGAAACTATTCATTGCCATTAAAATGTGCACATTCACTCTTATTCGTAGTCGAAAACGCAAACGTCTCTTGTCACGTTCATTTATGATTTACAGGAATCATGATCGCATATTTTAAATTAAAGACATTTTAAATGAAATTTCATAAAAAGTTGAGTAGTTTGCATCACTAGATAGTCTATTACTATCGGCCGCTGAACATTTCTATCTTAAAACATTTTTCTAATACAGTACTACTTGCATCTTTCCACGAACTCTCGTTGCGTTGTGACAATGACAGTAAGACCCACCTTCTTTGATTTGATTGGCCATCTCGATCATTTTGACAGTGACGAGCGCTGTTGGACCACTGAGGCAGACCAGCCTAAAAGTTCAACTTTTAAAACTTTTTGTCATCCTAACAACAAACAGCTTTACTCATTCTTATACACAGAGTCTTATACTGTCTATCAGCTATGACTATTTTAATCTTTAGACATAAACGACATAAAATGCAAGCCAGGAGTGAGGCCCTCTAGAGGCGCGAGGCCCTGTGCGATCGCACACTTGGCACAGCCCTTGTGACGGTACTGCCTACCCAGTTCTTAAAGGAGTCCTATTATGCTCTTTTACAATGTCTTGAATTTGTTTTGGGGGTGTACTAGAACATGCTCTCATGCTTGGTGGTTCGAAAAACGCATAATTTTTTTACATAATTTACATTATTACAATACCTTTCTCCCCAGTCTGGCTCGATTAGTTCCGGGTTTGATGAACGCCCGCCTTCCGAAAAATGAAATGTGATGTGATTGGTTAGCTGTCCCAGTGCGAACACGAGAGTTATAGTAACTAAAAAAGAACTGTAGGGGGTACTTTATCCTTTCATTTAAGTTTACTCATGACTTAGTATAGTATAGTAGTATGTTCTCTCAAATATTTCAGTTGTATTGAAAATTCAACATTCAAGATGACTTTGGGAAACGAGTGAATGCAACTAGTGAAAGATAACTGCAGACATGGAGGAAATGGGTGAAAAGTCTATTAAGACTCTTTTTCTTTTCTTCTTCTTCTGTTGTTATGTTGCACATTAGCAACATATTA